ATTATCTTTTAATATAAACGACAAATAATGAAGGAAAACATACACACACACTAGCAAAACATCAATTTGCATCAACCCTATTTTGAATTTTTGTATGATGGTAAACTTAAACTATTACAAATCTTTGTCATGATTTTTGCGCCAAAATGCTGCTTTTTTCGATAAACTACCATATCCTCTTTATCATATATTAGCTACATAAGCTATATTATATACTTAATAGAAAATAGTGTAAATAAAAATTTGTAAATAGAAATCATTTCTATCCAAGCAGTCGTATCAAAAACAATAAATGAGTATGACTCGAAAATTGCCAGCCACTAGAAATAAAATGTTAAATACTTAAATACTTATGATAGACTGCTCTATCATAGAACAATATTATTAATCATATTCAGTGCAATGAGTCGTGTTTTTATTCACTTGGCATTCAAAACTCTGATAAATTTCTAAAAACTTATTGTAGTTACATACTAGAAAAACCGTAGAATATTTTGTTAATAATGTATATTTTCGTTTTCCAGAGTATAATATATTTAAAAAACACTGTTGATTTCATCAATTATTTCTTTAAGAAAATCGTCATAGAATTTACTAATCTTGAGATTATTCATCTAATATTTATTTGAATAATCGGGAGAAAAAAGCATTGCGCACATATAAACTATTCTTTGTAGAGATGCATGTGTATGTACTGCACGTTTGTATGACATATATTTGTTTCTTATAATTCCAAATTCATCATGTATAAAACACATTATTGGTAACTGTTATTTGTGCTGTGAGCCCTTCTTCCTGCCTCCAGGTTTATATATGTAAAAAGTCAGGTTAGATGAATCTTCACCATGTGTTTTGTTCATGAAAGTTGTCATTATTATTTGATTGAACGTATTGCATAATTTAATCTTTTACCATGCTTATGTAAAACAGAATATATATATTTTTTTATTTTTCTGTATTAAAACCAACTAAACGACCCACTATTTACAATACTGCCAGTTAAAAATCTAGGACAAAATTATGTCCTGTGTTTTCACTAACTAGTGACTAGTAGTTAGTTTATCTATATTACAGAACAAACACAATACAAGGCCTTTTAATTCATTTTTGATCTTGCTCTGAAAAAAAAAACATTGTCGTCTCCTTTAACCGTGTTAGTAACATTCCCACAATGACCAGTTTCAGCAATATGTCACCCCAATGCATACAACATATGAATTTTACAAAAACCATATGCGCGGTCGAGGAAAGTTACATTGAGGGCGTGGTTTAACGCTCACATGTACATGTATTATCTTCTGATTCAAAAATACAGCAATCTCATACTAGGATCACACTGAGACAAAAAATCCATCCTTAAATATAATGTAATGCCAGTAACATTTGCGTTATGTTTTACTATGAATGTAACGATAACGAATATGTTATAATATATATCATATAAACATGTATTCAAATGTTTTGCATCAGCCATTTTTCATCATTGAATTCATAAAAGGTGAATATTTGTTGTTGTTTTGTTTTATTTGGACGTATTAAACCCTGCCCTGTAAATATGCTTCGACATAACTGAACAGATCACTTAGCGACAGTTAAGGTTAATGCCGACTTTGTAATATAGCGACGTACCCGACGTACTACACTGCTTATTTTTTTATTTGTGGGTTATTTTATCGTTTGTCAGAAAACTAAAGTCGAATCTTTAAACGCAAAATCTGTATTTTATCACTCTGTTTGAACTGTTTAAATTTAATTCAGTGAAATTGAGGTACAGTAATTGTGTGCATTTGTCATGTAAAAAATGCCAATATTTGATAACAATATTGGTTTATGAGAAATTAATTCTCGGTACCTCAAATACAAACGGGAAACGTCGGCATAGTAGACATTTGTATAACACAATCGAATAACTGAGTGACGTTCTACTGAGTGTGTGTTATCAGGAATCAATTATTTAGAGGTTGTCCAAGGTATGTTGAATTATTGAGTGAGTGCAAATGTTGATGTTCAGCCGCTAAAATATTCTGCAGGAAAAATATAAGTTTATATGAGAAAATGACTAATTTTTTTATCATCAGTCGAACGAGTGTAGCGGTAGTATGAATTCCTAAGATCACAGGTACTAGTAAGTTTCGGGTTTCGACCCCGGAAGTTCGGAAGTCACGTGGTTAATGCCGAATCGAACAACGCGCTGTATTCGAGCATGGAACATGGTATATATATATATATATATATATCTGTTTAATTCGTTTAAAAGATTCCTCTCATTAGTAAATAGCGCCCTCACTCCACAATATTTAGAATGAGTGGTTGGTCAAAAGTTTGATGAGTCAGGTGCGTCTATTAGCTAAGCTTGTTGTACATAGATGCAAATGAGTATAGGAACCATTAATGCTGTAGGGTGTACTGGGAGGGGTGGAGGATTTCATGTTTGTAATGACTGGTTGTAATGTGGTATCTCGTTGTTTTCAAGATGCAGCCTGATATTTGTTGCTTTCTTGGTTGTTCAATTGTGGCTAAAATTTGTGTGGTGGGTGGAAGATGTGTTTATTGTTTGTTGAGTCATTGTTTAGACACCCTGCAGCTTGAAATGGTATGGTCCAAATCCAAATTCGATATGGTGGTGTTGAATATCTGTGCGATATGGCAGTGTCATCTAAAAACCACGCATCGAAACGATTTCTGTTTATTTATTTACTGTTGTAGATCCTGAGAACTAGCCATTGAATATGATGTCGGGAATAAATGGTTTTCTGAACAAGCTTTATTAATTATTGCTGGCAATATTCCAGTATGAATTGGCAGCAAACTGTGACACCAAATCTAGTCGTTGTATTGTTATGCTTCTAAAAAAAATTTTTTTTTAATAAAATAAATTAAATAGAAATATTATGTGTATTTTTGTATGTGGAAACATGGCTTGCCCACTAAAAAATATAAAGAAGTGTGGTCTGCAGTTCTTTTTTTTTTTTTTTTTTTATTTGTGAAAAAAAATGGAGTGTAAACAATAAAACAAACACAGTGCAAGGCTAGTTCACCAACATGTCTATTCTCTTGCTTGAGTGTGAAAGTACATGGTTTAGTGAATACCTCTTATATTTTTAAATTTTAGAATTTTTTTTTATTTGGGAAGGTTCTTCTATAAAAATAGAACAGATGTAATGAATTATTTTTAATATTTTATTTTAATTTCAGAACTAAA